CTCCCCTACAGCACTTACACATAGTGTCAGACCCCCTCCCCCACATACATATAGTGTCAGACCCCCCTCCTCCACATATATATAGTGTCAGACACCAGACCCCTCTCAGCCTCCCCTCCACCACTTACACATAATGTCAGACCCCCTCCCCCACATATGTATAGTGTCAGACACCAGACCCCTTTCAGCCTCCCCTCCAGCACTTACACATAGTGTCAGACCCCCTCCTCCACATACATATAGTGTCAGACCTCTCTCCCCCACATACATATAGGGTCTGACACCAGACCCCTCTCAGCCTCCCCTCCACCACTTACACATAATGTCAGACCCCCTCCCCCACATATGTATAGTGTCAGACCCCCTCCCCCACATATATATAGTCAGACACCAGACCCCTCTCAGCCTCCCCTCCACCACTTACACATAATGTCAGACCCCTCTCCCCCACCGCACCTATATATAGTGTCAGATCTTCCTCCCCCACATACATATAGTGTCAGACACCAGACCCCCTTACCCCACCTACACATAGTGTCAGACCCCCCCAACTACATACCAACATATAGTGTCAGACCCCAGACCCACTGCTGCTCCTTGCTCAATATCAGACTCACTCCCCTGCGTGCTGTGAAAGTTCCCCCATTCAGAGTACTCTCCAGGCATCGCTGGGGAGCAGCCAATTGCTTCTCACGCAACCTGGACAATCTTTAACCCACATGTCACAGGTGATGACTGGTGCACCAGATGACTGCCAAGGGTTAACTACACACAGCATTGTATTCCCAGATCACTGCCAAGTGTACCCAGACAGCAATTCCTGGGACAAAGTCCTGGCTCTGCCCTTTATATAAAAACTCCGGGTAAGAGCTATATAAAACTAGTCCAATGAATAAATACATTATATTAAATCAATACTGATTAAGTGGGCTCTGTGCCATCAGGACAAATGTACATTTAACTCTCCATGGCACATAACTCTCTCTCCACCCCCTCCCCCAAACATACCACTCAGACATGGAAAAGAATGCTTCCTTCATCTATACAATGTTTATAGTATTCATATGCTGTACCACCCAATACCCTCCCCCCTGGGAGGATAGCCTATCTGGAATGCCCCTTATATTAAAACATACCCCAGTGCACTTTACTATCAGATTCGCTTCCCAACAATAATATATTAAATAATTAATATTATCACCCCTTTTATTCTATAAGTTTACTGTCTCTGTAATATCATCAGATTCTGTTAAACTTGGAATTTATTCATTAACCTGACAATGATAACCTGATAGTTAAATCATAGCCTGTCCTGTCTTAATTAAATAACAAACAAAAAAAGCAGTAAAATATTTAGCTGTTTCATTCATAAATATTTGTACATGATAACAGGCAGACAGAAATTAAAAAAAAAAAATCAATACATATATACCAAGACAAGCAGAAACTACAAAAATAAAAATAAAAATAAAACATGTACACAGAATCAATAAGCATTCCTTTACATTTCCCGAATGCAATAATGTAGCAATAAATGTAGAGATCATTCTGTCATATATAATCTATATAACATATACATAAATGTATGTTTGTTTAAGAAATTCCTTTCCCTAGAAATATATATTTTTAGAATTTAAACCACAATTATTATGTTAATTTAAATGTAGATATAAATGTGTGTGTGTTTCATAATATTAATTTAAATCTTTATTTATTTTTTATATTTGCCCATTTTTTGATTTGTTTATGTTTTTTTTTTATTTAAACCCACACTGAAAAGTGAAAATGAATGTATTAGTCTATTAATTAAATTATTGAAGTGGTCTCTTAGCTTTTGCCATTATTTTTAATTTTCCTCTTTTTTTTTTAGGTTTTTGTTTAAAAGTATCATATCAGATGGAAAAAATAAAGATATTACTTGTGGATTCGTTGTGAGTGTGACATAATTACGGGGATAGGAGCAGGGTTATTACATGTTTAATAGATTTTCAAATCAACTGCATTAATGAAAGACTAACAGCAATCTTACCAATAACACTCACAGTGATGGTTAAAACGGATTTAATTTATTCGATATTATATATATATATATATTTATTTATTTATTTTTTAATTTGTGTAAGCAGATCGTATGGACGAAATAATTCTGATCAATAATAATATTTAATTAGTTTAAAGCTGGAATCTAAAATCTTAAATATTCGATTCTACTAAATTAAACTAAAGAGCACACCTTCAATTAGTAAAAACCAAATATGTATTTTTATAAGTTATTGTAAAGTTCCTTCTGAAGCTATTATGAAGTTCTATTTAGTGAATTTTATATGAAAGTAACCTCATCCAAGGTATGAAAAATATTTAGATCAAAATAAATATTAACACAAATTTGAACAATGTGAGGACATTAAATGGACCTGTTACTGATTTAATAAGGTATTTAATAATTTGCACTTTGAATTATAAAATAACATTAAACACATTCCCCATATCTATCATCACCTATTGTTTCCATATGTCAAACTTGTTTTGTTAGAATTGAATTTTTTTCTTGTTTACTGCAGCGCTGCGGAATATGTTGGCGCTATATAAATAATTGTATCTGTCTAAAATGCTAATTCCTTATAAATGTACCGCGTCAATAGGGCAACATTGGATTCTAAATCTCAGTGATAAAGAACCGAGCGGTTTATTCACTGAAAGGGGGAACCAGGAATTCCCCAATGCGGCTGCTAGTTCTTCACGTTAACAATTACCTTGTCATTTATATACTATGGTAGGCTTAACGAATAAGCCAGTTAGGGATACACTCGCTGTATTTACTGAGCTGCGATCTGTGGGGATAGTAGCAGAGTTTGCAACGTTCTAGACACATTAATGAAATTTATTTCCCAATATCTTCAAATCCCATTTTCTATTCACTAAATTTTATAATTAACTGTTCAGTGAATGATCCCCGTAGTAATCAGACACATAACATGCCAAACATATACAATGTTCTGTGTATTATATTATATATGTGGATAAATACAGACAAAGAGGGAATACAAGTAATAGTGACTGCTCACGTTAAATGGTGCACTGATAGTACATGAAAATGGTGTGTCTTAATGTATAAAGTGGCAGGCGCCCTGATATTACATATTATTATGATTATTATTATTATTATTTTATTACTTATATAGCGCCATCAGATTCCGTAGCGCTGTACATCAGATTCCGTAGCGCTGTACATATAGAGGTAAGTGTCCTGATACATTAAGCGATATGTACCCTAATAGCAGATATACCCAGATATTACACGAAGAGGTAAGTGAAGTGCCCAGGTATTGCATGAAGTGGTAAGTAGCCTTAAATTGGACGAAGAGGTAGGTGAAGTGCCCAGGTATTGCATGAAGTGGTAAGTAGCCTTAAATTGGACGAAGAGGTAAGTGAAGTGCCCAGGTATTACATGAAGTGGTAAGTAGCCTTATATTGGATGAAGAGGTAAGTGAAGTGCCCAGGTATTGCATGAAGTGGTAAGTAGCCTTATATTGGATGAATAGGTAAGTGAAGTGCCCAGGTATTGCATGAAGTGGTATTTGCCCCGATAATGAAGTGATAGGTGTCCTGATTTTAAATAAAGTTGCAGGTGCTGTGATATTATAAAAACAGGTAAGTGCCCTGTTATAACAGTAATGGTAGGAGCTATGACACAGTAATTATCTAGGTGGTGTCGTTATATTAACTAAAGAGGTAGATTTCTTTTCATTGCATTTAGAGTTCGCTAAACATGTAGGTGCTCTGATATTAGGAGCCCAGGTATTCCACGGAATGGTAGGTATAACATTCCCCTTTATTACATAGAGAGGTTGGTGACTTGTTATTACACGGAGAGGTAGGTGACCTGCTATTACATAGATAGGTAGGTTGCCTGGCAATGTAGAACTTTAAAACCAGGTATTAAAGTGAGAGGTAGGTGACCTATTATTACAAAAATAGGTAGGTGACCTATTATTACTCCGGTACATGTATGTCCTTATGTTACAATGAGAGTTAAGTATCCTAGTGTTTCATGGAGAGGTAGGTACACTGGCACAGAGTGAGGTCGGTATGCAATCTATATTTAAGTCTGGTTCAGACACCCAGTGCTAGGATAGGATATGCCTGTTAACACTGCAGGGGTATATAATATGCTTGTTAACACTGCAGGGGGTATATAATATGCATGTTAACACTGCAGGAGGTATATAATATACCTGTTGACACTGCAGAGGGTATATAATATGCATGTTAAGACTTCAGGGGTATATAATATGCCTGTTAACACTGCAGGGGGTATATAATATGCATGTTAACACTGCAGGAGGTATATAATATACCTGTTGACACTGCAGGGGGTATATAATATGCATTTTAAGACTTCAGGGGTATATAATATGCATGTTAACACTGCAGGGGGTATATAATATGCCTGTTAACGATGCAGGGGTATAGGATATGCCTGTTAACACTGCCCCGTGTTATATATACATTACATACTCAGTGCTAGGTTGGGGTATGTAATACGCCTGTTAACACTGCCCTGGACAGGTTATATATACATTACATACTCAGTGCTAGGTTGGGGTATGTAATACGCCTGTTAACACTGCCCTGGACAGGTTATATATACATTACATACTCAGTGCTAGGATGGGGTATATTTCTGTTAGCGTGCAGATAAGTTATTATATATTAATATATATCCAGGTCGAACCCTTCCCTTTCCTCTGTCCCTGCACACAGCACGCAACATTCTTATCTCTCTAATTAAATCTAGCTCAGTTTAATTAATCATTCATAGGAGGCTCTCTGTTCTTCACGCAACCTCTTGTATGGGTGCCAGTTATTGCATGGGCTGCCAGTTATTACATGGGCTGCTGTCCAGCCGCACTCTGGTCACGTGACAGACAAGCCTGGTCCAATCAGGTGTGAGGGAGGTGTATATATAAGAGCTTGCCTCTAGCACACACACTATGGTACTCTTCTGGGCATAAAGGAGAATTCATCTGAAACCTTCTGCTTATACAAAGAGCTTCTTCTACACAGACCTGGATTCATAGCCAAGGTATGGACCATGTATATATATATATATATATATATATATATATATATATTAATGTTTGCTTTGGGGATTTTACCACATTTATGTGTATATATCTGGACCCATTCTATTAATGTGGAACAGTTACTTTGGGGTAATTTTTCTGTACTAGCAAAGAGTTGCATGAAGATTCTGTTTAGTGTCTGCCTCTAACCATGCCATACCCTTAAATAAATCTTACCTTTTCTATGTATAAAGTAAAAATATGTTCCTGTATTATTTGAATGAATTGAGGCAAACAATATGTATCAGAATGATGCCATGCAATTAAAATAGTCATGTAATTCAATATAACTACATCCCTAAACATTAAAAGACAGTTTACTAAATTACCCACCCTATTATTGGATCCCATGTAACCAGAGAACCATTGTCTCCCACTGAAATGAGAAACTCTGTGTTGCACCCTCTCAGCCATTATCTATCACGGTAATATGTTGTATTTCTGTTTATGAAGCACCAACATAGTCTGTAGCGTTGATATAACAATTCATGGATTGATGCAATAAAAACAGTACACCTTTGATACTATAGAAGCTTGGTGCTTTATTAATGGACAACAATTTACAGATCAGTGTATATGTAAGTAGATAATGTGATCTAGGAAATAAAATATCTTTTTATGAACAATTTTAAACTTTGCTGTAGCCCTTCTAGGGAGAGATTCCCTCATACAATTGTGTTCATGATGAATATTGAATCTCCTCTTCTATGTACCTAGTGCTCCATACATTCTATATTGGATTCTTGTTGTCAGACATACTATGAGGAAATATGTAATGATATACAGTACTCTGATTTAGGGTTTTAAATAAAGAATAATTCTCAGCTCACAAAGTGGAGCAGTCCCCATGTAAACCAATGCACGCTGGTTGCTCCAATATTGGAACTTAGAGATTTTATCTTCATTTGATTCCATCCTACGACTGGTAGTATTCTTCGCTTCCTTTTTTAAATCTTTGCTTTTCTTTTTTAAATCTTTGTAAGGTTCCTCTGTTACATTATTGGAATGCAGTTATAAATTGATCAGAGTGTGTAATGTTTTTTTTTCCCACATTACAGAAACAAAAGCACTTTAATATACGAAATCTAGATTTTGGGCAAATATCTTGTCATGTATTTAGATGTAAAAATATAAACAATAAATTAGCGGTACAAGAGCTATACAATCACTTGGATAAACTATCCCTTTGGGTCCCTTGTGTTTGTTATTGCAATGAAATATGAGACTTTCACAAACCATGCACGCAATGCTGAGCCCTTTCTAACTGCTGGAGCCCAATGCTGCGCATGATCCGCACTATCACACACCTCATGGGGGCCAAATTTAGGGTCATTTCTATGTACAAGGCAGGATTAACCCTTTACATATATGGTGAAAACTAACATGTTTTGTTGTGTGTTGATATAGATATATATTTAATATTATTACTCTTGTGCATCACCTGCCCATCTTAAGTTGAACTTTGGAAAGTCCTCCTCGGGCACAAAAATTTGAGAAATCATCTCTCCACAACTGTCCCAGAGTTCTCAGCTTGAAATGCAAATGAGCTCAGACAGACACTGTCCTTCAGACTTCACTCTGTATTACTGCAGGTATCCTTAGCAATGGACACGGTTTTAAACACAGGTTATTTTATACGGTTCATTTGTGATCCAGAAGCCAGCCGTGGACTGGGTCTCATCAGCATGGCGCCATCTGGTTCCGGTCTAGAAGTTATACGCCTTAAAAACACATAGCTAGGTGCAAACCTACACTATGGGGAGTTTCATTGAGTTTCGTCTCACCATAAACATTTGGCAGGACATACTGGAAAACAAGAGAAATCTCAATGTATCTTTCCTGGTAAAATATTTTATAAATAAAAATGTCACAGAATGTAGAATTTTTTTTATTTTTTTTTAAACCACCTAACCTGAGCAATGGCAAAAATAATTGGGGTTTAGTTACAATATATGATCATACAATGCATAAGGGGGCCACAATGTCACTATACCTGGTTCTTATGATCATATACTGTTACTAAACCCCAATTATTTTTGCAATTTCTTTGTCTTTGTTAGGTGCTTTTAAAAAATAAAATTATATTCTGTGCGCTTTGAAACTGCTGTTCAGTGTGTGATTATTATTATTATTAATAATATTTATGTATATAGCGCCAACAAATTCCGCAGCGCTTTACAGTGGGTGGACAAACAAACATGTATTTTATTTATTTTTTTTAAATTTTTTTTTTTTAAATTGGGGGGGGTTATATTACTGATTCATGATATTTTTTACAAGTCCTACCCTATAACTAAGGAGACACATTCTCTATATAAAATAACTTATATATATTTTACGTTAATTAGATACTAGTTGACATGCCCAGGCCCTCGCAGTATTTTGTAACTGACACCCAGTTCTTAGATTACGTGTGAAAGCATACATGCGGTGTTGAGCTACCTGCACATTTCTAGTCTTCACACTTTCACAGAGATAAGCGTGTTCCTCTATAATAATTGACAGCTTGCATAAAATCAGGAAAAGTCCAATACTGAGTCATTGTGTGTCAATGAGTATTCCTAGCACCTGGCTTGCACCCTGACTCCCACTATGTGTTTAATACTCTCTAGCACGCGTTAATTGTCACTGAAGAAACTATTGCTCATTGCTTAAGGGTCCAAAAAAAGTATTGGCATTAGTTGATTCTTTGTGCATTTGAAGGCAGTGTGTAAAAAAAACAAACAAAAAAAAAATGTTGATAAAATAAGTTGTCTATAAGTTACAGTGACGAGCCATCAAAGACAAACTGGACTATTAGTACAGAGAGGGCTGGGTCTGGGCATTAATAGTAATTGTAATATTTCACTCTTTAAAGTAGGAACAGAGCATCTCAAACAAGCATTAACAAGTCTTACAGTAAATTGTGATCTTACAAAGCATCCGTTATACGAATAAAATTACTAAATGTACATAAACACTCAGATTGCACAACCTGTTTATGTTCTTAACTTACTTGGATATATGTGAACTGTATATTCATGTTATCTGAGCTCAGAGTAAAAACTCAATAAAAATATAATAAATAAAAAAAAGTACATAAACATTCTCAAATGAAGGCCTATCTATTGCATGCAGTGGGATCATGATACACAGAGCCTTTCGGGGTCTGCATGTCTTCCTTTTTGTATATTCTTAGGCCGTTGTACACACCTAAAAATAAAGGATAGGAAAGGGGTATTTGTTTGAATTAAAGGTTGGTATTAAAAATACTTGGTAGGGAAATATGTTAATGATATGGAGAGGTTGGAGTAACAATGGTCAGAGGCTTAGACGAATATTATTGGCATTTATTCAGCGCCAACATATTCCGTAGCGCTTTATAATATTATAAAGGGGGAAATTAAACACTAAATAGGATAATTAGAAAATGTTACAGGAACAAGATGTTGATGAGGGCCCTGCTCGAAAGAGCTTACAATCTAGAGGATTAACAGGAATGTTTCAGTGGAAACAAACCTTACTCTGTGATATACTAGTGTCATCCAGCAAACTGGGAATTGGCAAGATAATTGCACATAAATATGATTGTACAGTGTGGTCAGAGAAACTGATATGTAAAGGGAGGTAGCGTTATTCACTAAAGTGTGAATTGTCTAGGATTCAAAGTGAATTTTCTGGCCAAAATAACCAAAACTGAAATCGCTGACTTTGAGAATATTTTCCAATTCAACTATCAGTGAATTCACTACTTAAGTCGATTACCCTGAGAATGACTGCTGCGATTCACGTGAACACATGCTGCCTGCTTCTATTGCTATGGAATATAATTTGCAGGACATTAGATAGTATTTACCTAATGACAGTCATAAAAGTATAAACATATAATGTCATTCGCTGTTTATCATCTTCCATGGACGGATGTGCAATAAAGCACTTCCATAAGTAACGTTAGCTTGCTAACATCATACTCAATTGTCAGTATATAAAATGTATTAAAAAAGGCTGTCATTCAGTTTAATTTTTACAGATGCCAAAATTAAAGGGTTGCCACATTACCACTTCATACAGAGTCGACCCCTCTGCTGCCAGAGGTGTAACTACACCAGCAGCTGCATTATTGGGGCGTTGTTAAACCAGCCCGGAACAAGAGTTCTAGGTGGCCAACGTGAATTCTGTGCAATATTGGTGTCTGACACCAGCTCCAGCCAGCCAATGGCAGCCTTCTCCCTGCTGTGCCTCCTGTTTTCTGCACTCTGCCCTGTTCTTCCTCCTGACCTCAGTGAGATTTGGCTGCAGGAAAAACCTGCCCCCCCTGAGGATAAAATCTCCTGTTGGTTTATTTCCATATACTGCTATATAAAAAGAATAGATTTGACATTAAAATGAATTTATTGGAGGTGACCACTTTCATAAGCCAGTACTTTGTTTAAAATGTGCCGTTTCTCATTTTTGTGATTGGATTCTGTCGGGTATACTGTTATTCATTATTCATGTTTCGTGCCTGCAATTATGTACTTTAACATGGCTGTCTAAAAATAAAGAATTTAAAATAATTTTATAAATCTGCCGTTCCTTTCCCTAATTTTCACTTTCTCTCATTTTAGGCAAATATGGCTAATTTGATCAATTCCATTTCTGGAATTACAGGCATGTTGTCTGCCACAGAGTTACTTGTTGCATTTGTGGCATTTACTGTCATGTTCCTAATCCTGAAATCTTACAGACAGAAGATCCCAAAAGGAACAAAGAAAATGCCAGGTCCAATTCCTTTGCCGATTATCGGCAACCTACTGCAACTGAGCAAAAATCCCCATTTAAGCCTGACCAAAATGAGTGAAACGTATGGAGATGTTTTCCAAATCCACATTGGCACAAAGCCTGTGCTGGTGCTTAATGGACTCGAAACCATCAAGCAAGCCTTACTGAAGCAGGGTGATGTGTTTGCTGGGCGCCCAGACCTCTTTACCTTTCGCTTGGTTGCTGACGGCCAGAGTTTGACATTTAGTAGCGATTCTGGAGAAGTATGGAGAGCCCGTCGACGGTTGGCCACTAACGCCCTCAAAACGTTTGCCACCTCTGCATCCATGACCTCTAGCACAACTCTATTGGAAGAACATGTTTCCAAAGAATGTCACTATCTTCTCAGTAAGTTCCACCAAATCATAGAGGAGAAAGGAGAGTTTGACCCCTACAGATACGTAGTTGTCTCTGTAGCCAATGTCATCTGTGCCTTGTGCTTCGGAAGCCGCTATGACCATGACGATGAAGAGTTTCTGAATTTGGTGAACCTAACGGATGAGTTTGGAGCAGCTGCTGCTTCAGGAAACCCAGCTGACTTCATCCCCATATTGCAGTATCTTCCAAGTCGCAGCATGAAGGCCTTTGTGGATATCAACAAAAGATTTTTGGCCTTCATAAATAAAAGTGTCAAGGAGCACTATAAAACATTTGATAAGGTGAGAATTAGATATGCGAATGCATTTAAATTGTGGGTTTCTACTCTGGAACATGGGTTTTCTCCATAAGGTTCCATCCTAAGTAGATGAATCTAGAATACCAATGTAAATCAAAAGATTGATGTGAGAGTCCCCTATGCATATGAATTTTGTTATAAATATTGTCCTAGAGATTTATAGGTCGTATGCAAAGGAGATTTATGAGTTCTAATTAGACACTTCATCAAATATGTCCTTTTCCGTTCTAAAACAGAATTGCATCCGTGATATTACCGACTCTCTGATCCAGCACTCTCAAGAAAAGAAGGTCGATGAAAATTCCAACGTGAAAATAACCGATCAGAAAATAGTGAACATTGTTAATGATCTCTTTGGAGCTGGTGAGTGAAAATAAGAGAGCTTGTCTTTATTATCACTGACTAGATATCTTTTTAACTTGAAAATTATTAGAAAACATAGAATTATTAGAAAACATCTAACGTCGGCACTATAAAGTTGACAATTTAGAAAAAAGAGGGATACAGGTATGGGGGTCACCTACAATAGAATATGCAGTCTGAACCTCACCTTCAATTAAAAATGTCGCCTGTTTTGTGCCTATTTGATGTACTACTGCACAGAGATATTTCTTTATATTTATAACTTGTTTTAATTGGCTAATTACATAATAGTAAATTATTGCAAACAAATTATATTTCTCTCCTCTTTTTCGGAGTGTAATTTACAATACACACTCTGCACAATCCACATGCTTTTGTTTTCAGATGCAGGTGAGGCTTAGAGAACATACTAAGCTGGTTTCTCTTACTGTCGCCTTAATCTTACTTATTGCTAAATGAATACTTCAGCACTGGAGCACATACCCATATTGTGCAAAGTTGGTAATAAAAATATAAAAGTAGTTATGACCAACTTAGACATACAGGAACAAGAGGTGACAAAGACCTGCTAAAACAAGCTTAGTCTAACATAAATATGCCATACATGTGGTTGGCAAAAAGATTCTGAAGCTGAAAGGCAGTCAAGGTTGGAGAAGACTACATTCATCAGTTTCACCAGACAACTTACCTTTTGGCAGCTTAAAGGTGCAACACGCACCTATGGCCTACAATCTACTTTCCAGAGGACAAATTCAAGCATGGGAGTTATCTCCAGACAAATACCCTTATATTCCATAATTTAACTAAAACCGTAAAGGATCGTCCTATATTTAATGCATATTCAGATTATATTGCCTTCCCTACCCCCTGCTTTTTTTTTATTGATAGTGAAAAACAAATGTTTAAATTGGATTAGAACCCTTTTTTTACAAGTCTTTTATACCGAATCCTGCACCATCTATGAATCACTTAGCTAATCTAAATAAATAAACTAAGTTATCGTAAAATACTTATGTCTCAATGTTTTTTTTTTTTTCAGGATTTGACACAATTACAACGGCCGTGTCTTGGAGTCTCTTATACCTTGTAGCCCATCCAGAAATACAGGAAAAGATTCAGAAAGAATTAGGTAATGTATGAGATTATAACATGGTTATTCACTAAATCACCAGAAAATTGCAGATTTTACCACGAAATGTCAATTTTGAACAATCCTGCAACTTTGCCATATTCTCAAAATTCTACAAAGATTTGCCCAGCTGTAAGTAATAAGGGGGGCGGGGGGGAGAGACAACATTTTTCCACCATAAAAATTGCACAGGGGTAACACTTGGGCAATAAGTTCCTGATATATTTTTATTCCCCCCTCCCCCACCCCTTTACTAGTGCATGAATAGGCTTTGCTGACAGTGTCCTCCCATTTATTTATGCTTATTTGGGCTTTTTTTTAAAAAACACAAACACATTCTAGACATTTTAAAATGTAAAAATTAGATGTTTGGCAACAATGATATAATATTTTCTGTATCTATCATTTTGTCTATTACTAACAGATCAAGTCATTGGCAGAGAGAGGAGACCAACGTTATCAGACAGAGGTCAGCTGCCTTACACTGAAGCTTTCATTTTGGAAATGTTCCGTCATTCGTCCTATCTGCCCTTCACCATTCCTCACTGGTAAGCAATGAATGACAGTCTAGTTTGTAGATGTGGACTTGCAGTATTATCACAAAGACACTGTGCTTTGCAGGTCCTTGCTGGACTTGACCATGCTGTCCACGTTTGATATAGAATAAAATATTGGTCATCGCCTATGTAAAGTAACAGTGTTACTAGGACATCGTAAGCACTAACAAGTCTATACATGGTATTGAGCCAATACAAGATATGACAGTGTTTAAACTAGGATAAAATAACATCATCTCCTGGTACTGACACAGGCATTTCTTGACGGGTTTGAAGACAACACTTGCTTTTCCATATAATATTGATCAGGATGCCAACAAAGGAGTGTAATGCAGGGGTGCCCAAAATGTATCTTCCCCTACAGCTTCCATGATGCTTTATCATTCTAAAGGCATGCAAAGCATCCTGGGAGTTGTAGTTCTTTAACATCTGGGGGTCTACCCTTTTATGCAAGCCTGGTATAATGTATCTATAGCGTTGGAGCACTCACATATCCTAATACAAAAGAAGGGGGATTATTCGAATGTGCGTGGTCTCAAGCAAACTGTCGATTAGAAATTTACTTGTGCTGAAATAAAGTGTAAATTATTTCTATGTTGTGTTGTAGCACCACTGAAGACACTGTACTGAATGGCTACTTCATACCTAAAGGAATATGTGTTCTGGTGAACCAGTGGCAAGTTAATCATAATCCGTAAGTATTCTCTAAAGACACCGCTGTGGGTTTTTAATGCTCAGGATGCACTGGGATTGTATGGCTTCTTGTAGAGGCTCCAACAATTGGAGTATTTAGACAATCCTGATCATGCAAATTGTTAATATCTGCAAATCACCTGAAAAAGACGTATCTTAGCTTGGTTATAGGGATGTGTTCCATAGGCTTCTCCTTTAATTAGGTGTTTCTTAGATATCACTTGTGTTTCCAATGCCAATGGGTGGAAAATGACTAGTAAGCTAAACCATCAAAAGAACACTCCAAGCACCATAACCACGTCAGTGCATTCAGTGGTTATGGTGCCAGCAGAGCCCGGGCACTGGTCAAATGGTATGACTAGTAACATGGGGGGCACTAGGGCAATTCTGGCAGCACCATAACCACTATAGCGGTTATGATTCTTGCTGTTTGTCTTTAAAATATTACATATAGTATTGTATCTGGGGTAGGCCTCCTATTTTAATGCAGAATGTATACTCTTGGCTTTAATTTTATTCCCCTTGGGTCAAAAGTCTACTTTTAGTAATAGCAATGTGATTTCTTTGGAGCATTCTGCAAGGTCGGAAGAGTAAAACATGAGATTTAACAATGTGAATCATATATATATTTTTTTTTTTAAATCAGGGAAATATGGAAAGACCCATTCCTCTTCAATCCAGATCGCTTTCTGAGTGCAGATGGCACTACATTGAACAAAAATAATATAGACAATGTCCTAGTTTTCGGACTGGGCAAGAGAAGATGCCTTGGTGAGGCCATCGGAAGAATGGAGGTCTTCCTCTTCCTCACAACTCTGCTTCAGCAGATGCAGTTCTCTAAGCTGGACGGAGATAAACTGGACATGTCACCTCAGTATGGTCTGACCATGAAGCACAAACGGTGCCACATTACAGCCAAACTGCGCTTTCCTCTGTTGAGTTCAGAGTAATTCATGCATATCCCTGGGCAACAGCCCCATTTGTGAATACCAGAAGGGACTCCTATTGGACACACTTAAATGGACAATAGGTTGGATTTAAAGTCCCATCCTCAGATGCCAGTGAACTGTATTCTGTAGGTGGTAAACTAATGCTTAGTTTAAACATGAGTTTTGACAATACTTTGACAGATCATATATAAGCTCTGTGCATGTGTCCTATTAACCAACAGAAAATCCCTTTATATTATGGAAAGGGAATAATTTGCTAAACAATGCTGTTTTTGTTAATTGTCACATGTGAAGGAAGCTGTTCTAGCTATAAACGAAGCTGCTTTAATTTTATATTTTTATGGATAGATGTGTTTATTATGCAAACTTAGTCCATTTGTTCATAATCAAGCAATATGATTGCCTGTGATCCATTACTTGTGGAGGAATCCAGAATCTGTATATTACTTAACTAATGCACCTTTATTTTTTTCTGAGTTGGCAAGCAAAGATTTTGCTGAAATGTGCATCTTAGAACCATTGCACATCCCAAACCATTCCTGACTGTTCCAGTAATACTGTCTGATGTAACCTTTGTACCCACCAATTATGCTGGAATTTTTGGTTTAATAACACTAGCCTTTGGATACAATGTTTAGCATGTAAATTGATGCACAGAAGGGTAATATATGCAAAGGGAAATAAATAAGGCAATATTAGTAAGCATGACGAATTGAGGGAAAATGATCTAAAGGGATTTGCCTAAACCCCGGTCCCCGGTAAAGCATTACTACTGGGGCAGCATCGGGGAGATCGTCAGATGCTCAACTGCGCTGTAAGGTTGGCAAAGCTCCAAGGGAGATGTAGTTCTAAAATATCTGCAGAGATACATTTGGCCACATCTGGGTTACAAAGACAAAGCAGGGGAGGTTTATCAAAGTATTCTCTTTAAAAAAGTGTGTTGCAAAAAAGGAGAAGAATCATCAATTTCCACTAGTTTTCATTATCTTTGCCCCCTCTTTTTAGTACTTTAGACCAATTTTTAGAAGAGAACACTTTGATAAATCCCCCTCCAGTATGACTTTAATATTGTATAAAGCAATAGAACAATCTGAATCAAAGAACACCTCTGCCTTTTGGACTGGCTTTGAGATTTAAAAACATTTTACTGCTCTTTGGCCTGAACTTGGCTATGAACTTCCATTTTAAGCTAGATAATTTGTAATATTGTTTGTGAATGAAATGCATATTTTTGTAATGACCAGCATAAAATACTTTGAAGTATACCTGTATGAAGCTATAATCTCTGTGAGATATTAAACAATTAATGATGATCTACTGCATTGGCGTGTTTACTGATCATATTCTTTCATGAGACAAAGTATGTCAGGGCTGTCATAATATAATGGGACTTGCACAATTCCTTACCTTAGAGTAGCAGTTTACAGTGACATACTCCACATTTGCATAGTATGATATACATTCTAATCTAGAGTAATTACTGTATGTGGCAAATTATCAATTCGTAGCTTGGAACCTGAATCACACTGGAATAGATTTCAGAAAATTAAGGTAAATCAAAATTCGCAAGTTGTCAGAGCTACTGTAGGGTAACTTGGATTCATCCTTTTTATATTTAAACAGCTACAGGGGAGTAGGGGGACGACTTACAGGTTGTTTTTTTTTTGGTTTTTTTTTCAAAAAATTTAAACTGCAAAAAAAAAGCCTCAAATTATATCCACTACTAGACTGGTCATACAGAGGGGACATGTTCTAAAATTCAGATATTGCATGTTCCAAACCCAAGTGTGATCTGAAACAGCACATGGAGATTCAATAATCCTTCCTTTACTATAGGTTTTATTCACTGGTTAACTTAATGTTTGTTTTGCTGAGTAATTGAAATGATTTGACTCTCGTTTTACACATAGACCATAACAACATAGTACACAAACTTGTCAAACATCTCATCTTCACTTGAAGGGGCAATCTAAGTGAATACTTTGGGTCCCTCTACTGGAATGTTTAGAGTTCCACACGTCAGTATCAGAAACTAAAACAAAAACAAGCTATGAAATTAATCCAAACATACCCACTACAAAACAGATGTAAAAAAACCTATATTTCTATAATAGCCAAATGCCAATTATAGTTCTGATTATGTTTAATCAGTACATTCAAGGCCGTTAGACATATAAGGATGTCATTGTCTTTCCGCCATGTTTTATAGACGAAGATCCATTGGTCTTTCCTAAAAAGGTGCATCCTGGAAAATCGTATATCGTTGTTGTAGCTCTTCTTAGTATTCTTTCTGCTGTAAATTTCTTCTTTTAAGAGTTGTTGATAATAAAATGACGAACGATACTTGAGTATCTGAAATAGACACAATGCAAGTGATGGATCAATTAATAGTCTCGCCAATACATGCTAACTCGTGCAGAAATCATCAATAAAACAAAATGATTGAATATCACTAAGACCAGCCCTCTATAACCCCTAAAAAAAAATTCACAAAATGAATTTTCAGAGATGTCAAATTGACACCAGCCCTTCAAACAATGCCAGAGTGTGGAGAAATATGTCCATGCATTTATATGGTGAATGTTGTTAATGTATTTTGTTAATGAACATTAAACAAAAACAATCCACAGAATAACCAATACAAACTATCCACACATTAATACAAGCGTATTTCCAGCTTTGGCAAGGTAATGGCAGGTGTCTGAAGAAGTGGAGGAACCACCTCATTAGTTCCTCTGTCAAGATTCTGCAAGTCAAGTCATGTAGAATCTCACTTTGTGCCTATCTTCAAAGAGGACTAACTATATAGAATACTTGAAAAAAATATATTGATTTGGATTCACAATGCATGAAACAGACACAAAGTGATAATAGATTCAGTGGTGAAACTACTATGGTGACCAGGCCCTGGAGTTCTCCCTATCAGGGGAAGATGAAAAGTGCAATCAGGGCTACAGCAGCATGAACGATGACTCAACTTTCAGTGCAGGAAGTGTGAGGGAGAGGATCTGATAGGGAGTTACCTGGAAGGTCGTAGGGCATCACATATCACCACCGGACCACCAGGGAATGTATAAGAGCAATCAGCAGCATTGGACCAACAGGGACGTAAGTGCCTGGGAGTTCCGCAGCACAAGGGATGGAGGTAGGCCACTTTGGAGCCAAAGACACAGGGATCCATGGGGAGGTAGTTAAAATGCACACTATGAGATCACAGGAAAGAAAGAAGGAATAAGATAAGTTTGTCTGTGTGTCAGCCTATGTATCTGTGCATATGTGTTAGTGTTTGTGTATGTTTCTTTTTACGTGTGTCAGTGTGTGTATATGTATCTGTGTGTCTGACAATGTATGTATCTGTGCATGTTTGTCAGTGTATGCATCTGTGTCTGTGTGTTAGTGTATGTATGTGTGCATGTGTGTCACTTGTCTGCCAGTGTATGTATCTGTACATATGTGTCAGTGTTTGTAGATCTGTGTCTGTGAATATGTGCATGTATGTTAGTCAATGTTACTGTGTATCTCTCAGCAGTGTGTATATGTGTCTGTGGGTATCTTTGTGTGGCAGTGTATGCTTGTTTCTGTGTATTGCAATGTGCCCCTGTATGTGTGTGAGTGTGGCAATGCATATGTATTTGTGAATACACATTTGCATGCAATCGCCAATATTACACACAAACACTCCCCTGCATTCATACCCTGACACTATAAACACCACTACATTTAAATATCAACACTACACACAAACTCCCTGCATTCAAACATCAGCATTATACACAAACACATAAACATTCACACAAGTTCACTCCATACAAAAACATGCCTACATTCGCAGATACTGCATACAAATTGAACCCTGCAAGAATAGGTAAATAGCAGATCCACAGCTGGCAAAGCATTGTTGGATTTGTACGGCAGCTGAGGGTCTACCTATTGGCTACCTCTGCTCTATAGCGGAGGTGGGGCCCTTAACAGATTATTGCGCTGGAGCCCTGAGGTTTCTAGTAACGCTCCTGAATAAACATATTTCTTGAAAAAAATATTATGCTTTCCAAAGGCATAAACGGATTCCCGTGATTTAAACAGGGTAGCTGTAACACCTTCGCTAGCTTGGCCCACAATCTGCTCTCTAGGCCTGAACTGGACCACCGGGATATTTCACGGGATACTGCACTATCTAGGCCAACCAGGCTGTCGGACCAATGAGCATGTATAATGCAGAGCTGTTTGGTGAATGCATGTTGGGTGAGATGAGACATTGGTGTCAATGGGTCACGGGCAAAAAGTTGATGGTTTAAGCATGTGCAGATTTCTGTGAGTTCTACCTCATGCGGTGCAGGTGATGATGGAGGTTGCTGGGACAGATGATGTCACACCTCATGACTTCAGCATCCTTCATCTGTCAACCCATATATTGTTTGCAAAGTGTGAGCAGACCTGTGAGTTTTGTGTGCAAGAAAATGGCCAATTTTTGTAGCTGTTCCTCAGGCCAAAAGCTGCCACTACACCCCTGATTACACCAATTGAGATTTCCTGATTTTAGCGTGAGAATAAAAAAAAAAAAGAAGGCCTTTGATATATTTTGGGAGGATGTCATGAGTCTTATAGCTCATCTAACTAATTGAATTCTCTCTGAAATCACAAGTGAAAGTGTTCATCTTGCTTTCTTGGGGTAATTGCATCCCTCCAAGTGAAGACCACTTTTTGTTGTAAGCATTGCTGCACCAGAATTTTGTAGCAGATGATCCATGTCAGTATTTTGTTTATCTTATTCTTCTTCCGTGCGCAAATACACTGCACTGTGCACAAACGTGACAGTATGATAATAAACGGATTGTGCTAGAGTACAGAAAAACTGATGGGACCATCATTATTGTATAGTTAGCAGTTTGTGAAGTTTGTTCTCACTCCGAGATATTCCAGTTTAGCTCCATTTGACCATCCTTATGTTTGACATTTCAATCTTAAAGCTTCTGAAATGTCATACCACAGGATCTTTCAAAGTAGCTCAAGTCAGATTAAAGAACAAAGTCCTACAAGACAAGTAATGAAAATGAAGATAGTGTACTTGGTGATCAAATAACAGCAACTGCAATATGAAATATGTCGAGAAAAAGGCACCTCGCAAATGAACAGTGGCTGAATAACAAGACCTATATTTTTCCTTGAATGTATTTGGAAAACTTCTATGCGTCTATAAAATGAAAAATACTTGTTTTAAATTTTATTTTTATTTGCGTGATCGTATCTATGAGTTAAGGGTTTAAAAATACAAATTACGAAAAATTAATAGAAATTGAGACTCTATATCAATGACAACCACCTATTTATTGTACGTATGAGGCAAGTAATGATTAGGACAAAACACAACCTAGTAGCATCAGTGGGATAAAACTAATATTTAAAGTAGGGTAGCATGTCTAGGGGTCAAATAACAAGTTATTTCAAAACCTATATGAAGACTAGTGATGTCCCGAACGGTTCGCCGAACTGTTCGCTTTGACCCTGAACCTCACAGTCAGCAGACACATTCCAGCCAATCAGCAGCAGACCCTACCTCCCAGACCCTCCCACCTCCTGGACAGCATCCATTTTGAAGCTGCATTCTTAGTGAGCTGTCCAGGAGGTGGGAGGGTCTGGGAGGGAGGGCCTGCTGCTGATTGGCTGGAATGTGTCTGCTGACTGTGAGGTTCAGGGTCAAAGTTTACTCAATGATGAGTCCGTGGCGAACCGTTCGCGAACCGTTCGGGACATCACTAATGAAGACCATAAAGTGGTGTCCACATACGTCATCCTGTTGATCGAAGAATACATCAAAACAGATGTATAACCACTGCGGCAGGATGGCCAGGCTCTTGACAATAAACTTCAAATGCAAGCGTCAGGATAAAAACAGTATTGCAGTTTATTTGTACTTTCCACAGGGCATACAATACTGTGCTTCACAGAAATAAATAAAACAAAACAAAAATCCTACTCCAACTTGGAGACTTACTAAACAATAGTATTCTTAACTATCCAACTGGCCAGCTAATCCAGTTCCCAGTTTTAAACAGTTTAACCACAGCACTTTAACCTCTAAAGGACTGAGCCAAATGTACACGTTGTGATCAAAATAAAACGTAAACACAACTTGGAATCTGACTATTGTCTGTTCAACAGTAATTCACCTCTTTCATATTATGTGCACCCACACTAATTATATATCATTTTATTCAGGGGAAACAGGGCTTTCATTTAATATCAAATATTTAGCTATGAAACATAATTTAATATGAATAAAATATAAAAAGAAATTAAGAAATTAAGACATTTTATTTTT